TAACTTTTTTTTTTAAATGAGCAGGAATTTTTAATTTTTATCAGGTCTAGTTTACCCTTTTTCCTTTATGGCTACTGCTTTTTGTGTCCCAAGAAATCTTTGCATAAGAGGTCTGACAATTAAGTTCGTGAATTTGTCACCGTGCGCTTACATTGTCAGCACTGTACAACTTGATAAGGTTTCATAATTTTAGTATATCAGTGTCTCACAGCTGTGTTCTTGTCGACATGTGGCGGTGTCTTGCTGAGTGGCATTCATTATTGTTGTTGCGTGTTTTTATGTGCCCTTGCTAGAATGGCTGAGCTTAAATTAGAACAACAAACAAACATTCAATTTCTTGTTAAACTTGGCAAGAGTGGAAGTGAAATCAGGGACATGTTAGTCCAAGTTTGTGGGGATAATGCTATGAAGAAAACAGCAGTGTACAAATGAATTAAATGTTTTTCTGAAGGGAGAGGACGTGTCACTGATGAAGAGAGGTCAGGGTGACCAGTAACAAGGAAAACTTGATGAAAACATTGCAAAATGTGTCAAATTATGCATCAAAATCATCGACTGACTGTGAGAAGCATAGCTGACCAAGTAAACATTGATAGAGAAACAGTTAGGAAAATCTTAACTGAAAATCTTGGCATGAGAAAGGTGTGTGCAAAAATGGTCCCGAAGGAGCTCACCAATGAAGAAAAGCAAAGTAGAGTTAAAGTTTGCCAAGACCTTTTGGAGAGGCAAGACAAAGTTTTGGGCCATGTTATCTATCACTGATGATGAAACATGGGTGTGTCAATACAACCCTGAAACAAAGCGTCAAAATGCACAATGAAAGTCAGCCAATTCTCCACAACCAAAAAAGTTCCGTCAGTACAAATAAAGAGTCAAAACGATGTTGCTAAACTTTTTTGATATCAGAGGGATTATTCATTATGAATTTGTACCAATTGGACAAACAGTTAACCAAGTTTACTATTTGGAAGTGCTCAAAAGGCTGTGTAAAAAAGTTAGATGACAATGATCTGAACTTTTCACCAGCAATTCATGGCTCTTGCATCACAATGCACCAGCTCACAGGGCACTTCTGAGAGGGAGTTTTTAGCCAGTAAACAAATAACTGTTTTTGGAACACCCTCCCTACTCACCTGATCTGGCCCCCAGTGACTTATTTCTTTACCCGAAGATGAAGGGAATATTGAAAGGAAGACATTTTGATGTCATTCAGGACATCAAGGTTAATATGACTACAGCTCTGATGGCCATTCCAGAAAAAGTTTCAAAATTGCTTTGAAGGGTAGACGAGGTGCTGGCATTGGTGCATAGCTTCCCAAGGGGAGTACTTCATAGGTGACTGTATAATATTTAGCAATGAAGTATGTAGCACTTTTTCTAGATGAGTTCATGAGCTTAATTGTCAGACCTCATACTTCATGGTCATAATTCGTTAGATGTATTTTTAATCCCAGCAGTTTTAGTTGATTTAAAGTTGGATTATTTAGAGGAGCTAGTCCTCCAGTGTCATAAATAAAACTCCTTCCTTGATTATTTGAGTATATTCTTCTTACACTGCTAGAGCCTCTTCCTTTGGTCAAATATAACAAAGAAATCCTTTCTTTCTTCATAGGTTCCAGGAAAAAGAAGACTCTTGATTCCCTCCACCCCCCACCTCCCGGGTGACTCAGCGATCCCTCCCTGTCCTCTTCCTTGGAAGGTGAAGGATATTGGAATCTTCGATCCCTTGCATGGCCATCCCCTGGTTTTAATATGTTGCTCCCAGAAGAGAAGCAGATCATCATGTGGGTATTACCATTGTCTTTATTCCTAGTTGAGTTTTCCTAAATAAAGTTATATTTTTCTATAAGATCGAGACGTGTATGTTATTTATAATCTGTCTCATTCCAAAAGAAATTTAAATGCACTTATAGAGATATATTTGTTCTTTCAACAAATATATCAACTACAGAAAGAGTATAAATTAGTACATGAGAAAAGAAAAGGACAAAAAAAGGAGCCAGGAATGAGGTTAATATAAAGAAAGCAATTATAAGTATTTCCTCATTATCTAAATTTATTAGTTCCTCAGTTTAGGGAAACAAAATTTGGAAGTTCGGATAGGGAGAGATTCAACAGAAAATTTAACCAGATCTATTTGATGTGTAAGTTTTTTTGTTTTGTTTTATTTTGTTTTTTACCAGACAAGATAGACTTTTTTTAATTTATTGCTTTTTATAGTTGACATTCAGTATTATTTTATATTAGTTTCAGGTGTATAGCGCAGTGGTTTGGCATTTGTATAATTTATGCAGTGAGACCCCTGATTAGTCTAGTACCCACCTAGTAAGTTTGAACAACTAAAAATCTGATACTAAGGGATACCAGTATGTACTTACTACAGGTGTACATTTTGGAAATTGTATTTTTATTGCACTTGAGATAAATAATATATATATTTATTGTAATTGATTCATATATAGAAAGAAAAAGGTAAAAGCTATGAGAAATCTCACTCCACAGAGATATTTGTTTTTTAATGGGCTATATTATACATGCGAAGTTCTATCTTGCTTTTTTCACTTTGAACCAAAAACTTAAAAGGGAAACAAATAGTCTAGGCACAATAAACATATTCAAATTTTAGTCTGGGAGTTGGTATTCCAGCATTCCTTGGCTTAAGTGGTGATCAAAATTTGATAGTAATAATGATTATCTTGTAATTGTGTGGCCCTTTATGTATTCAGAGCTCTCAAACACATACTATCTTGTTTGACCCCCTCAGCCACGTGGAGGGATGAACAGGACAATCTTTTGCACTGTACATTTGAACTGTTCTGGCAGTTGACTTCCCTGCCCCACTCCTGAAATCTGAAACAAATCTGTTCATGTTTCCACGCTACTCTTAAGCCTTTTCCTGGCCCACAAAGCTGACTGGATAAAGTCCAAGTTTCTTAGCAAAGCATACAGGGCTTCCCATACAACCACGCCTGTCAAGCCTCATCAGGCACTCCCCTTGTATCCCAGCAGTACAAATCTTCATTTCCTTTCGTCCATACACCTATGACTTTGTAAGTTGCTCTTACTTAAAAAACCCATTTGTCTGCCTTTGGGTTCCATTTTACCCACTCTTTTGCTCCCTGAGAAACATACATTTTTATCATAGCATAAATTGGCCTATAATTTATGACCATTTCTCTGCTTAATCTTACTCATCTCCACCCCAGAGTGTTGGCAGTAGGCAACTAAATTCAATTGCACAGGTGAGATTTACATCTATGTTAATATCCCGGTGTCTTATTTTTTTGTTAGTCCTAAGCATGCCAGTCTTTCCCACCAGACTGGGAGCTAACAGGCAGGTTTCATGCACGGCCATCTTAAAGTCCCAAGTATAATGACAGGAAAAAATTCAAGTTGAATGTGCATTAAGTGCCCCGCTCAAACACAGGCACAGAACAAGTACTAGAACCCAGAACCCAGGTTTTTTGTGTTTTTTTTTTTTAAGATTTTATGGGAGAATAGGGGAGGGGAACAGTGTTGGGGAATTGGGAAGGGGAACAGCGAAGTTATTGTTCTTCAATCTTCATTGTGGAGGGCACCAGTTGCCATCTGGCTTCCCATCGGCAGCTCTGGCCTCTAAACTCAAGGTGTTGCGTTCAATCTTAGTTGCGGGTGGGTGTAGCCACCATTCCATGTGGGAGGCGAATCAGCAGCTTTGTTAAGAGCGCCTGCTCTATTCGCTGAGCCATCTGGGTGGCAGCTCAACTCAAGGTGCCAAGTTTAGTCTTAGTTGCGGGTGGGCATAGCCCACCATCGAGCAGGCAATCTCGTTACACCAGCTGAGCCATCCTGCTGGCAGCTCAGTGACACCTCAGCTTGGGCGAAGCGTCACTTGCCCATGTGGGAATCCAACCAGCGGTCCTGTTGCTCAGAGCTCCCGCTCTTAAGCCAACTCTTAACCAACTGAGCCACTCAGGGCAGCCCTTAGAACCCAGATTCTTAATCCAATATATTTCCAACTGCTCCTAGGTCCCCCTTCTGTAATTCCTATAGGAAACAATAAGGAAACAATGGACCATTATAGGGTCATTATTAGTGCTCCTCAGTTTACCCGACCTCACACCCACGGAGGTGGGGATGGGCTCAGTTACAAGGTTGGGCACACGGTCTGCAACGCCTAACCCCGCTCTAGCATTCAGAATCGTGTGCGAGCGCGAGCTGCCCTTGACCGCCCTCCTGCCAACACTGCAGCAGCGCGGCTTCCTCCTTGCGGCGCCTGCGTACTGTTACATTACGACGGAACCAATGTGGTGAGTCCTGCGCTTTGACGCAGTGCAGGAGAAAGGAAGAGGGGGAATACAGACTGCGTCACACCCGGAAGCGGAGAGCCGGAAGTGGGGTGGACGGTTATCCCCAGGGGTAGAGAAGCGGAGGCCCAGGAGGAGGGGGAGAAAAGAAGGTGGAGGATCCTGGCATCTACTCTGAATCTGATACCGCTTCTCTTAGACCCCAGAGACACAGACCAAGGGAAGGGTGCCTCATCCCTTCCTCCCCTCCTCCCTTTCCCCAGCCTTAGCCATGGCCGAGGCAGGGGCCGGGCTGAGTGAGACCGTCACTGAGACAACAGTTACCGTGACAACCGAGCCCGTGAGAAAGGCGGGGGGCGGTGCTGTTTAGGATCTGGGAGATACCGGGAGGGAGGGGATAGGGCTTTGGAGAGTTGCTGGAGGGGCTGGGCTTGGTGATATGGGAGGAGTGGGGTTGAATATCGGGTCGGGAGAATCGCGAGGTCTTGGGGATATTTGGAGTGGCAGAGATGGTGCAAGGTTGGTCAAGCGACAGGTAATAGGATGTAGGTTTTGCTGCTTGGGGTCGTGTGTGTATAATTAATGAAAGAATGGGAACCTGAGATTTAAAGAGCAAGGGAGATGCTGGGGAAGATGAAGGCTGCGTAAGAAAGCATGGTTGGAGGCCAGCTGTAGGGGAATTTGACGGGAGGGATACTTATTAAATATTTGCCGAAGGGATGAATGTAAAAGGAAGCAGAATGAGGGAACCAAGAAAAGGAGATGAAGATAGTATTTTGAAAAATCAGAGATGTAAATAAAGAAAATGTAACATATTTGCAAAAAACAGGTTAAGTTTTCAAAGGCAGGCTGTACTGGTCTTAATAACACCAGGGCTAAGGGAGTTTAGAATAACAATTACCAGAGATTTCCAGGATGCTGGGGAATAGGTGGATAATATGTAGCCATGGCTGGGTTTGAGGATGAGAGAGGTGAAAGTGGAGTTCTTTTTTTAATGGGAAAAAGAATATGGAGTCTGGAAAAAGAAAGGGAGATCACAGATTAGGCATTGGGACTGAGAAAATAATTTTTGTGTATTAATACCACCAAGGATGATTTGGGGAGGAAGACGGAGAAACAGCAAGGGTTATATTTTCCTTTAAAGATTTGCTGGGACTGGCCCTAGGTTAGGGATTGTGTTTTCTCTGTATACTAGTAGTTATCAACAACTACTTCATGATTCCTCAAGGAGGTTAAAGACCTGTTCTAGTTCATCTTCTCCCAGCACTCAGTTCTTCTGGTGCTATGTCTGTGACACTGATTGAGCTGGGACAGGGCAGCGAGTAGGCCCCTGGGGGAGAGAGGGGATGGTCAGTAGGAGGGAACTACATAGGTATGCCCAACCCTGTTAACCTTCCAGGAGAACCGGAGCCTGACCATCAAACTTCGGAAACGGAAGCCAGAGAAAAAGGTGGAATGGACAAGTGACACTGTGGACAATGAACATATGGGGCGTCGCTCATCAAAATGTGAGTACTAGTTGCCCACAGTAACCCTGGAGTTCTGGCTCCCATCTGCGTACCTTTTACCTTCTCACATCCACTAGCCTTCCTGAAGTCCCCAGATGCTCACAGTCCTGTCGCTGCCTTGGTGATTCTTTGGCATCAGGGAGAGGAGATTAAAATTAGAGAGAAAAGACACAGGGAAGGGCTCAAACTGGGATGTGCCAAGGCTTGAAGGCAAGAGGTGTCAGAGGTGGAGAAGTGGAGCTTTGGATCCCTGGCTGTCTGAAAGGACAGGGGATGGGTGTCTAAAGCCCTGAGATGGGGCTGGGGAAGCTGGATCCTGGAAGGTGGAAGGAGACAATGGTAGAAGGAGCATCTTTTCCTGAGATCTAATGGGAATGGAACTGACTCTACGTCTTACCCTTCCTCCTTTTTAACTGGACTCCTCCTTCCTAATCCAGGCTGCTGTATTTATGAGAAACCTCGGGCCTTTGGCGAGAGCTCCACGGAGAGTGATGAGGAGGAAGAGGAGGGCTGTGGTCATACACACTGTGTACGGGGCCACCGCAAAGGACGGAACCGTGCAACCCCCGGACCCAGCCCCACCACGCCTCCCCAGCCTCCTGACCCTTCCCAGCCTCCTCCAGGGCCAATGCAGCACTAAATTCCTCTCTCCCCCAACATTCCTGTGTCTGTCTGGCCCTGAATGTTTTCATGTGGCTACTTGGGGACTCAACCCATTGTTTGATCCCTTCTCCAGCCCCCCTCCTCCCCGCTCCTCTGCCTGATAGAGGGAAGAAGAAGAGGAGGGTGGACAGAGATCCTAGGATTCTGACTTGCTGCTATTCTAGAACCCACGCTCCTGGGTTCCCCCAGCCCTCATTTTCCTTTCCAGTGCCCATCCTCCTCTCTCCAGTGATCCAGGCATCTTGCTACCAGTCTCTTCCCTTTGTTCTCACTGCCAAACTGCCTGTCCTGGGATCCAATTATCTTGGCCCCCTGCACTCTTTACTTGAGTCCCAAACATTTAAATTGGGTTTCCAACAGTCCCAGCCTTCACTGCCAGGGTCCCAGTCAGATTCCAGGCAGTGTTGCCCCAGCTCTGCTTGTTAATCCTGGCTTAGAGCTCATCCACTTATGTATTTATATAGTACTAACTTTTAGTCCTTGCCTGTGATACGTGAGGTATTACGGGAAGCCTCCCAACCCATCTCCTCCCCTCCTGCCCACTCCCCTCATGCCCTCAAGAGGAGTTAGGAGAGAGAGAAGTCTTTGTCATTCTCACCTTCAACGGAAAATGCAAAAAGAAATAGTCGTGTCCTCTCTCTTCACCCCCTTCTCATGCTATCTAGGATTTCTGACAAAGCTGGCTTCAAGAGTAGTCTTCCAGCTTTGGAGACAGCCCCAACCTAGTCCCAGGGGCCTGGGTTCCTGAGAGAGGCAGGAAAAGGGAGCAAAGAGATGGGGCTACCTTCCCATCTTTTACCCCTTTCTTCTTAGGATTTGATGTCTTGGCCAGTTCAAATGTCCAACTCTCTTGGCCCTCCCCGCCCCTTACTGGGATCTGAATATCACTTCCCAGGTCTCTTGCCATGCACAGTTGCAGAGATTGGTCAAATCCATACCACCATGGAGATCTCATTTATTGCCACAGATGCACAAAATAAATAACCCAACATCACAAAACGTGTTAAATACGGGCCCATTTATACACATGGGGAAAGATGTGAGGGCTATATACAAGGATGAATTGGGGTGTCTGAGCCACTCCCAAGTTGCGGAAAGGAGAGGTAGCACCATTGGTTCCTTACAGTGAGTATGTGCAGGGGGAGTTTAAAGACAGTTCTCAATGGGAAAAAACTATGGACATAGAAGTCTTGGTGGGGTAGGATCCCCCCCAAAACAAACAAACAAACAAACAAAAAACCACATTATTAACCTCGCTAGAGAGCCCTAAGGCCCAAGCAGAGTCAAGCCTCTTGTTTTTTGGAAGGAGAGTCTTGTTTCTTTTGAGAAACCTGAGCGTGGACAGGGCAGGAAAGCCCAAGCCTTAGAACTGTAGGGAAGGCGCTGGGCCCTATGAGACGAGGAGAGGCAGGCGTGGGAAGTAAATATTTGACTAGCAGGGACTCTCTGTGGTAAACACGGGCCCTTTACCAGTTCTGATGGGGCAGGTGTGTTTCCAGCTAAGGTCTGGAACGGTGTGAGCTAGAAGGGGAGTGACCACTGGGGGAGCTGTGGGGGAGAAGCGTTCCAAGAGGGCGGGGGCTGGAATGGATTCGGCTTTGGGAGTGGATGTGAGAACTGGAGGCCAGTTGAGGTCTTAGTATTTGGGAGAAAAGAGACAATGTAGGTAGGTGGGGGTGTTTATTAACACTGGCTGCGGGCATGTGGACACAATCCCTGGAGTGAGTAGGGATTTCTAAGCCCAAGAGGAAGCAGCTTCCTGTGGGCCAAACTAGAACGAGGTTGTGGGTGAGGTTCTCAGTCTTCGGCTGGCACGATGCGCAGTAGGGCACGGGGGTCTCGGGTGCAGAGCAGCGGGAAAATGCGCTCCCCCAGGGGGCCAGGCGCCTGGAAGGCAAAGAGCAGGTCGAGCGAGCGGCCATCATAGAAGGCCACACGGCCCCGCTCCCAGTCCAAGTCCACCCGAATCCGCCGGGGTGGCGGCCGAGCGCCGCCCAGCAGGGTGGGCTCTGGTGCCGTGAGTGCCCACAGGCGGCCGCCCCGGCCCTCCACAGCCCACACGGCGCCGGCGGGGCACAGCCCTACACGGCCCTTGCGTCGCACTGACTCTCCTGCCGCGCCCAAGGCATAGCGACTCTCCTCGTCGTCCTCATCCTCCCCAGAAGAGCCTCCGCAGGAAGCAGCGTCCACGGTCTCCACCTCCCAGCAGTGGCGGCCAGCCGCAAATCCCTGCGCACCCAGCACCGCTGGCAGCTGATCGAAGCGCGCTGGGCTGTCAAGGGGTGCAGGTGTTCCTGGTGGGGCCAGTCGGACGCTGCGGCAGTCGGCAGAGATTAGCAGGCGGTGGTGTGCAGTGCCAGGGTCCAGGGTTAGGTCAGCTGGGGGGCGCAAGACGGAGAGGACCAAGTGAGAGGGGTTTCGGAGGCAGAATGCGGCAGAGGGCACTTAAGGGACCCCACAACAGCTCTAAATGTGGCTGTGGGACCAGAGAGAGTGAAGGCACATGAAGGACAGGCCCAGGCAAGACTCGGCTTGTGCACAAATGGCCCACTTACTTATGTAGAATTGGACTTGGAGAAGGACCTGGCTGGCTCCGCACGGGGCACAGGTCAAAGAGCAAAGGAGACATTGCCTGTTTTGTGGGGGTGGCGAAAGAGTGAGGCGGATCTGACATAGAGGTAGGAGTGAGGGCTGATAACCTCAATCTGCAGTATCTGGGGTGCGGCCTGGGAGCTGGGTTAGCAGGATGGGGAAGGTGGATCTAAAGAGATACAAACCCCAAGTGTCAGAGGGAGGGGCACAGGGAGGAATCCTAGGTATCCTGAGAAACCAGCCCACTCACCCACAGGGATAGGTGGGAGTGGACAGGCCTATTTCTAAAGGGAGGGTGGGGCAAAGTTGGAGAGAGAAGGTGGGGATAGCCAAAGAGACCAGAAAGAAAAAAATTATTAGCCTTGTGTGGATGGGGTGCCTTGAGAAAAGATTATTCTAGAGTAGGAGTGCTAGAAGCCATCTGGGTTGGAGCATCTTCTCTAGGCAGTTTAAAGAAGGGTGGAGGACAGCCTTGGAGCGATTGAGGAAGGAACTCTCCAGAAGCTGCCGAGAAGTGCCAGATACCCAGGGACAAGGAGATGCAGGAGCCTGAGGATCCTTCTGGAGAGGAGTGCCGAGCAGTGGGGGAGCAGAGGTTCCTGAGAGGCCCTGACCTCCAGGGTCTGTTGTGCGAGCATGTGAAAGATAAGAGGGGAATGGCTGGAATGTGCGGAGTTGAGGATGGACACTGTTATGGGCTGAATTGTTTCCCCCAAAGAAGTCCTGTTAAATCTCCTCAGACCTCAGAATGTGATCTTATTCGGAAATAGTCTTTACAGAGGCAATGAAGTTAAAATGAGGTCATTAGGGTGGGCCCTAGTCGAATATGACTGGTGTCCTTATAAAAAAGGGAGATTTGTACAAATTTAGAGACAAAAAAATTAGAGACAAATGTGTACAGAGGAATACAATGTGACGACACAGGGAGAATACCATCCACAGGCCAAGGAACACCGGAGGCTGTCAGAAACTAGGAGAGAGTCAGGGACCAGATTCTCACAGCCCTCAGAAAGAACCGAACTGCCAATACCTTGACTCTACCTCCAAAACTGTGAGACAATAAATTTCTGTTGTTTAAGTCACTCGGTGTGTGATGCTTTGTTACAAAGCCTTAGGAAACTAGGTAGTACAGATATCAAAAAGGACTTGATTATTTTTGAGGAAGCAAGCCTAAAACAGACTTATTCAGTGCCCTCCCTGCTGCCCTCTTTACCTGTCAGTCTGTGAAGCATGTTTTTGACCACTGGGTAGTCTTCAGGGAGCTCGTCCTCTGAATTAGACGACTTGGGTGTTGGGATATCCTCTCTGGACAGATGAGGAAGAAGGGTCGGGAAATCAGTAGAAACCCTCTGCCCTCCGATGCCCCCTCTCTTACCCGACTCACGTCTCTGGAGCAGGAAGGGGTAAGGCCACACACCAGAAAACTGTAAGTGGGTACAAAGATGTGGCCCAGTGACAAGGCTATGGATGTGGCAGCTGGTAGTGGAAAGGCAGGAACAGTAAAAGTGGAACTCACCTTCTCCATGTCTTCCTCATATCCTGGGGTGGGCAGAAGAAAACATGGATATAAGCTCTGAGCTTCATACTGTGAGGAACCCACTTCCTCCTCCCCGCTGGGGTGAGCTGCATTGGCGAGGGCCCTCCCCACCTTTCAGCATGAGCTCCCCTTTGTCCCCTGTGCTCACTATTCCTCTCACTCCAGCACCATTTTCTTTTCATTCTCCTAGCTCCACCACTCTCTTGTTCTCCCCTTCCCTATGGACTCTCAGTGTCCAGCGTGATCCATGCTCTTTTCCTGCCCCCAGAGTCCTTACCTTTCCCTGCTGCCCCGACAACCCCATTCTGTCTCAGTGACCCCTGTCCTTATCCACCTTCCTGAGGGTGTATTCCAGATAAACGTCCACACATACTCAGAGCCCTTGGGCTAAAGGTTGGTATATAAAAGCCTTATAATAAAGCTGCTTCATTTCTTGCCATAAAAGCCGAGTGGCGTTTGTTGAGCCCATTGCTTTGTGGTCTCTCTGTTCTGGCCAAGGAGGTAGTTGGACTTGGACGGGGGTGGGCGTGGGGGGGCGTGGCTCAGCAGAGCTGCAGGGTACCATAGGAGCCAGCAGGGGGCGCTGGATGATCCCCTGCGTATGCGATGATTCCTTCTGCCCCTTCCCTGTCCACGGGGAATGACTGGAGCAGACCAGTATGGTGGTGAAGGGGAGAGAGGAAAGGCAATTTGCCTAATTATGCCAATTACACCTAGACTAATTAGGTCTATGTAGACTTCAAAGGAGGGAAGCAAGACCCGAGACGGCATGGCTGCTGGGGAGAAGCCAGTCGGGAATCCCTGTGCCTGGGGGTCGGGCAAGGGAATGGGGTTGGTTGATGGCCAAGGAGTTAGGACCCAGGAGGGGCGCGGGGGCTGGGTGGGTGATAAGGCTGGGAAGTAGAAAGGAGCCAAAGGCCCCTAAGGCTGTTCTCTGGGACTTCGCCTCCACCCCTCGCTGCCCACTGCCTGGGGCCCTGGGAGGAGCCGAGGACAACAATAACAAACAACACTCAACTTGGCCAGGGTTAGAGCCCGGGATCAACCCCACGATGCTACAGGGGCTCTAGGATACGCTGCCCTCTCCCTCCCTCCCTCCTTTAGACAACCCCTCCTTCAGTGCGCCTCCACTACAGCTTTGTTCCGCCCTGCCTCGGGCTCCCCCTCCCTATGTTGGTTCTGATCACCCCATCACTCTCCCGGGTCCCCAGCTCGCCTTCACCCCAGTCAGCTTCTCCATCCCCCCGCCGGCTCTCCTCCTCCTGGGCGCCTAGCAGCGGCCCTCCCCGCCCTCCCTCAGTGCACGCACCCTCCGCAGGCGCTCCAGAGGCTCCTCGCACTCCGTCCAGTGCTCCTTCTCCACTCCCAGCGCTCTCACAACCCAGGCATCCGCCCAACCCCTCCCTCTCGGCCAGATGTCAACTCCTTCCCACCGTCCTTCCCGGTGCCTCTTGCTTTGCTTTGAGGACTCGTGGTCAGCCCCCCCGCCCCCTCATCTTTTCCTTTTCTCTGCTCAGCTCCCCCCTTTGCCTCAGCTGTCATAAGGGTCCCGGGTCGGGAGGTACCATTCCTAGCTTCCCCAGGGAACCCATGAGTCTCCCTGTTCCACCAACAGCTGGGGACCTGTGACGCGCACCGCGGCCTCACCTCTCCGTGCGGGTCCAAGCTGCCCATGGTGGGGATGCGGCCCCCTCGGCGTCTCCCTGCGCGGGCCCCGGGCTCGGCCAGCTTCTCCCGCAGCCCGCGGCTGATCCGCACCTCCACAGCCAGCCGCACATTAGACCTCAGGCTGCGGCGGGGACACGGGAGGCCGCAGCAGGGGCAGGCGGTGGGGGACGTCTCGGTGCCTGTCGCCGGCGGGGTCCCCCAGCGGCGGGCCAGGCACGCGCGGCAGAAGCTGTGCTCGCACGCCAGGAGCACTGGGTCCTCGAAGGGGCCCCCGCACAGCGGGCACGTCGCCAGCTGCTCCAGACGCTCCACCAACCCCGGGCCCAGCTCGGGCGCCTCCATGGGAAGCCAGCGTCTGGGCGCCGTCCCTTCCGCGACCACCGCGACCGCCTTGGAGTGCGCAGGTGGCGGACCGCCCCCGCTGCCTGCTGAGTCGATGCCCCTCTCTCCGTCTCCCGCATTAACTTTCTGACGCTTTTCTGCCCCTTTCCTGGGATGGCTTCTCTCTTCAACCAGTCTCAGTCTCCGTCAATCTCCCCACCTCATCAGGCTTTAAAGGGAGGGCGGAGGCCCCTGCGGGAGGTAAACACCGGGCCTTGCGTAACACCTCATCTGGTTCTCCCGCGTCAGGAGTGAGGTTTGGGGGAGACGGGTGGGAGGACAGGACACCCAGGTCCTCGAGCCAGGAAGGTGGTCAGTAGGGGCGCTCTGGGGGCAAGATAGGCGTGTATTGGGAGGGTAGCCCCCTGAAGTGCCCAAATCTCACCTCCCCTCTTGGCCTGTGGTGTGTGGATGGGCAGGGTGCCCAGGCTCGATTTTGGCATGTGTGCCCACATCGTCAGGGCGTGAGTCAGCCCAGGTGGCTGGCACACCTACCTCTGGGGGTTGGGGCCGGAAGCCCGGATGCTGGTTTGTGTGGCTTTGGCAGGCCCCTGAGTGCTGGTGTGTGGCTCCTGTTCCAGGTGCCTCTCTCTTTACACCTTCCTGCCTTACCTATTAAGGGCGTCAGGACACTGTGAAGCTTTGAGGTAAGGCGTGGGGAGCAGGCCCCCACATTTCTGCCTCAAGGATTCAGCAGAGAGCGCTCTCCAGCTCTACCTCTAGCTGGCTCCCAGGGCCTCTCTTGTTCCTTCCTTCCTATGTCTTTCTTTCTAGTTATTTCTCTCTGTTTTTCCCTGTGTATGTTTTTCTTTCCAGTTTTCTCTCTCTCCTTTGGGATGTACCCAAGGGTTATGTATTTCAACTTATTTGGTAAACCAAGGCCAGAGAGCTGGTATAGGCTCCACCAGAAATGGAGCCATACCCAGATCTTCTAATGTATACCCTTCTGTGACTCCACCCTGCCTCTTTTAAAATTTCAGATCCATAGAACTCTCTCTGCGTTCTAGTTTTCCCCTCATCTTTCCTTGTGCCGTCTTTCCTCACCTCCATCTCCCTGTCTCTTCCCTCCTTCCCCCTCCTCTTCCCTCTCCTCCTTTCTTCTCCGCTGCTCCCTCTTCTTTCTTGTACCTCCACTCAAGCTAGGCCTTTCTGTCTGGATACTCTTGGGGGGGTGTGTGAATAAGTAAACATCCAGATGTCTACAACTCTAATCACACACATTGTTGTACAAACATATGTGTGCATCCATACGTGCGCATCCATCAATTTCCAAATGCCCAAAAGTGCTCAGACTTATAAACAGGTACATCCACGTAATGCAGAGATCACAGAGATGCCTAAAGAGTCTCATACACACTAAATATCATAGAGATGAACACCAAGTATTATTTAGGGACAGATAGATATGCTCAAAGAAAAAATGCAAAGAGACACTCTGTCATTAGTTTTATTGTCAATAAGAACAACAACACAACAGCAATATGTCTTTATGGAGTAGCAGCGCTATATTAGGCATCCCCTCCAGGTCCCTTTCTCCCCCCCCCCCATATTTATCATGGAGACATTCAATTATGACACTCTGATCAACAAACTAACACAAGTAAACACATGCACACTCAGCTTGAAACAAACCTCCCAGCTCAATGCTCATAAAACACAGCTACCCAAGTTAAAGACTACAAATACAACCAAAATCTATTGTGTAAAAGATGGACTTCTGTGTTACGTTTGACAGAATAGTGGTCCCCCAAAGTTGTCCACACCCTAATTCCTGGGAAATGTGTGACCTTACATGGATGGCAAAGGAGATTAAGTTTGCAGATGGAATTAAGGTTGCTAATAAGTTGAGTTTAAAGTAGGAAGATTACTTGAGATTCTCCAAGTGGGTCTAATATAATCACAGGGGTCCTTAAAAGTGAAGGACAAAAGCAGAAATGGACAACCAGATAAACAGAAGCATAAGAAGTACTTGGCCACACTGCTGGCTTTGAAGATTGAGGAAGGGGCATGAGCCAAGGAAGTGGGCAGCCTCCACAGGCTGCAAAAGGAAGGCAATGGATTCTCCGCTAGAGCTTCCAGAAGGAACCCAGCCCTGCTGACACATTGATTTGAGACCAGTAAGGCCCATTTCAGACTTCTGACCTCCAGCACTATAAGAAAATAAATGCGTGTTGTTTCACACATTTCAAACATAAGTTTGTGATAATTTGTGACAGCAGTAAATAGGAAACTATTGCACAGGCTTTCCTTTCTCCCTCAGTCTCTGGCTCTTTGGGACCATCTGCACTTGTCTGTGTTTGTCCCTGCCAATGTGTCTGGATTTCTCTGAATTTCTTTGCCTCTCTTAGCCTTCTTGTCCATTCTTTTTTATTTCTTTCCCTTTGTATTGCTTTATTTTCTTGGCTCCATCACCAGCCCAAGGCCTCTTAGACATTAGGGTCTTTCTGGACCTGGGCCTGGAGTTTTGGGGAAATGCTTCTGTGTCTCTTCAGGAGCTTAGGATTGTCATCTATCTCAGGACCTTACTGTGGCCCTCAATGTCTTAGTGGTTCTCATCCTAGTTGTACATTAGAATCATCTGGGGGAACTTTTAAACTCCCCATGCCCAGGAGACACCTCAGACTAATTAAATAGAATCTCTGGGGATGGGTCCCAGGCAACAGGAGTTTTCAAAGCTCTCCAGGTGAATCCAATGTTTACCCAAGGGGACCCCACTGTCTTACATGATAAGGTGTGCGTGGACCTGCCCCTCCCCATTCCACTCCTGTGCTCTAGCCATAGTGCTTTATATTTCATGTTCCTTGAGCATGCCAAGGCTGATCTCACTGCGGGGCCTCACTGTTCCTTCTGCTTGGACTACTCTTCCTCCTGAACTTTACGTGGCTGTCTCCATAGTCTCATTCAGGTCTCAGCTCAAGGTAACATTCAGAGAGGATTTGTTTCACCATTATACCTCAGATAGTTTTCTTTATCTAGATTTATTGTCTGGTATTTATTGCTATCTGAAATAATCTTTATCTGTCTTGATCTGTTTCTATCCAATAAAAAGGAGCTCTGAAGGAACCTAGCCTTCGTGTTCACTGCTGCTTTCCTTGAACCTGGAAGAGTGCCTAGCACAGAGTAGGTCTCAATGAATATGTACCCAGTAATTAAATTGTCCATCACCAAATGGGCAAAGTGAAAGGGTCCTTTGACCTAAATGCCAGACAAAGATATTCTTATCCTTCTATCAACAGTCTCTTCTCACTGGCAGATGCCAGGCACAGTGCTGGAGAATGCTCGTATGACATGAGAAATGGCATTTAGTCTGGTTGAAGAAGCTCATGGTCTTGTCATTTGCTTCTATAACTAGATGATGAGGATTCCTACTAACAATGCTTTAGCTCAGACTTTAAGCCTTGATTACCAGGTTTCACACCTCATGGTTCTAGGACATACAGTACAGAGAAGAGGCATTGAAGACAAACGATGCCAAGAAGTGTCTCATTTCTCAAGACTTTCTTCCTCCGGCTGCAGAATCCATAACAACGCTATACTTGATTCTCTAATCTCGCTTTGGGTTCATTCTATCTCCAGAGAGCTGGATGGGTGGAGGTGATTTTTGGTGTGTGTTGGCTTGGCTTACTCCAGTTGACCGTGACTGGATCCTGCCTCTCTGTTAACACCACATTGTTTTAACATAGGTGCCTCCCAGATAACTGTTCCCACCCCTTTCCAATTCCTTCCTGGATGTCTACTTGTGGTGTTGTGGAATGTTGTAACTCCATACCCACTGCATGGCCCTGATGAATGCTAGAGGTAGGACAGACCTTAGCCCTCATTTCTTTTCCTTCTCTTCCTTTTTTTCTTCTTCTCTTTTTTTTTGTTTATCCTTCAGTCTATCTCTATATCAGTAACACCACTCTTTTGAAGAGTCTACAATTCTCAAGTAGCCTTCAAGGTGGAGAGGGTGTTACAAAGAGGTGTTTGGGAGACTGATAATGAGACAGTCATGGTCCCTGCCCTTAGGGAGTGTGATAAGGCAGGTAAAATGTATCCATCATCAACCAAAATCTGTCAATACCAAATTAGGGAGTGTGATAAGGCAAATAAGACATATCCATCATCTATGGAAATCTGTCATTACTGAACTGTAAGGGTGCACTGAGGAGAGAAGGGTGAGTGGAGGAGTCCATTGACAAATTGGAGAATGAGTGGGAATGATTTCAGGAAGTCTTCCTGGAAGAGATGACTTGTAAATGAAGGACGGGTTGGGTTGAGTAGGAGAGAAATGAAAAAGCCTGAACAACAAATGTGAAGCATCTTTGGGGAGAAAACTGGAAGAGGGGTGGAAAGGGCCAGGGTAAGATGGGTGAGAAGTACAAATGATGGAGACCACATTCCTTCTCAGTTCCCACTCAGGATGCCCCTTCCTAAAGAGTTTCTTCAATCTTGGTTGCTTCTGTAATGACTCATTTTTCACAAAGGCACTGTTCTTTACAATGTGCTTTAATGAAATTGGGAGTTCTATTAGAGCAGCTTTCCCAGAACTCTGGATAAAATGCCCTGGATGGAGATGGCAGCTTCAGGCAGGTGGGCTGGAGGTAAAGATAGAGGTCAGAGATTCAACCAGATTAACTAGACAGTCCTGATGCTTAATGACGTGATCCATCTCAGAGGAATGTCATCCTCACAGCCTGGTCTCTTGTTTAACCATAACAGCCATGGGGCCAAATCCAGCCATTTGCAGTGAGGACTTTGGGATTCTGGCATGGTAAGGGGTTAGCCCAGGCTCAAACAGCAGGTTAGAGGCAGAGCCAGGGCTGAAGTTCAGATCTACTGCTTCCGATTCGGTGGTCTTTCCCTTCAACGTGACTTCCTCTCTTCAGAGACTTTCCTCTCTTTTCTGTTGTTCCTCCTGGAAGCCTCCTTCCTCCATTTCCCTTTAAAGGCCTGCTTAGAACTTACAGTTTCTCAGAGGTGTTGCCCCTCCTTCCAGTTTATACTGGATGCTCATTTGTTCTCTTTCCTTCTGATAACCCCCATGAATGTCACTGATTTTTCTTCATCCATCCTTTAAATCACCCTTAAACATTCACTAATCATTCTTCTCTTCTTAACGTTCCTCAGGCCTTCTTATTCCCCACCCCCTTAGCAGTGTTCCTTTAGGAGCCGTGCATTTGTTCGTTCATTTAATAACTCAACACCTATTTACTAAGCACCTAGTATGTGTCAAACACTGTTCTAGGAGTTAGGGTACAGTGGTGAAAAAGCCAGCCATGGTCACTTATCCTCTGGCCAGTTAAATTGTATTGGGAAAGATTAACAATAAGCACGTAAACAAATTAACAAGATAATTATAGATGTGGCGAGTGCTTTGAAGAATATAAAAGGGGTAATATAAGAGGAATTAACTAGAGGAGGT